TTATATAGCATATACTATATATAAAAACTATATATATAATATATAAACTATATAGTTTACCTATGAACTATATATACAAAATTTTACTCAAACTTTAATGACCATTTATGTAGTTTTCCAAAAATATTTATTTTGTTATATTAAATCTAAAATGGAAAATGAAAAGGAGAATGAAATTCTGCCCAAAAAAAATTAGTTTTCGTCGCGGCTCATTCTTCCCTCTTATTTTTGTCTCCATTGCACGCCTAAAGTAAACAAAAATTTTTAATCTTAAATTCCTCATTTCTAACCTACAAATAAGAAATCCAACAATTAAATCTAATTTTTAGTTTAATAAAAAGTAATTTAATGATTATAATTAAATTTTTATATAATAATCATAATTAATATAAAAATATAATTTAATAATATCAATTAATAATTTGTTATAAATTTTGAAAAATTATTTTGTATTTACTTTATCCATCTCAATTAATTAATTTAATAACTTTTGAATATATATAAAATAAAAATTTATAAATATAAAAAATATATTAATTTAATGTTCACAATTAATTATGTACCTTAAATTATGAAGATGTATTTTGTAACACTATAATATCATAATTCATAATTTCACAACTTCATCAATTGTAAATTATAAGTCAGATAAATATCAAATCAGTTCAATAACAAATCAGGTCATTTACAAGTTGAGTCAATTACATGTCAGGTTGAAAATATGTCGGGTAATACCAGTTATTTAGCAAGTCAATCTCGGGTTCGGATTCATATTAGTTGGATGTAGTTCGGGTAGGTCGTTCTTAGGTCGGGTGCATGTCCACAATTTTCAGATCCAACTTGGGTTCAGGTCAACACCAGTTTTGACTCAAGTCGGTTTCGGATCGTCACAGTACATGTCAAAAACAATTTTAACTCGAGTCGATTTCAGTCAGTTTTACACGTGAGGTCAGTGTAACACCCTAACCTGTACTCGACCCGGATACGAGTATGAGATGTCACATTGACTTTTTAAAACGATGTTCTTCCAAAATAACCAAATATTTGAACTCATTTTAAGAAAATACGATGATATATTATTGAATTATTCTTCATTATAAAAATTTAAGGCAAAAACATATTTATGAACAGTAAAATACGATATGAACAGTAATGAACAATACCGTGAACAGTGCTACAGTGCATCGATGCACTAAAAATTCGAAGTAAAATTGTGCATCGATACACTGCTACAATACTGCTACAGTGACTTTCGTAAAACGTTCATAATACTCGTAAAAATTTAACCGTTCATTATCATACATTTACATTTACATAAATACGTTTAAAACATTACAAAACTTGATCAGAGCATAAATACTTAATTTAAAGATTTTGTTATATGCCAACTTATTTAACACGTAGTAATACATACTCTTTAATCTACTTCTAATCTGAACTTCAAGTGGAGATATGTTGTTCTGCTGAGCTTATAACGGATCTCTTTGATTTTCGGTACCTACGTGTAAAACACTTACACGTTAAGTCATAGACTTAGTGAGGCATAAACATATAATAAAGAATTTTTATAATTATAAACATTTAATCAAGTATTTAATAACAATTATACATATTACATTATAAATCTATACTGTCATATAGGAATCAGTATAACAATAATAATATTTTATCATACAAACCTGTACACACTCTTTACATCTTTTATAAGCCCATGCACACTATTGAGAAATAAGGTATATGAGTACGATGAGGTTATGTACACTTATGTTGTCACCACATCTCATATAAAATCCACTGAGTGACATATGAAATCTGTGTCCCGAAGGACCTATCCATATGTTCCTAAGAACATAGGTAACTGTCCATATGTTCCGAAAAACATAGGTAATCTTGTCCATATGTCCCGAAAGGCATAAGTCATCATGTCCATATGTCCCGAAAGACATAGGTAATCCTGTCCATATGTCCCAAAAGACATAGGTAATCATGTCCATATGTCCCAAAAGACATAGGTAATCCTGTTCATATGTCCCGAAAGACATAGGTAATCATATCCATATGTCCCGAAAGACATAGGTAATCCTGTTCATATGTCCCGAAAGACATAAGTAATCCTCGACTCTTGGCATGTCAACTTGTTGGAAATCCTTAAATTAAGGAGATTCTCTACCTTAGTTCTAGGAATTTCCTTGTAAATATTAGTAATGATCTAATTACTGATTTTTAGGGATAGACTTATTATTAGAGATTGTTTCCTTGTAAATATTAGAGATTATTTCCTTTTTATTTTTTTCTGCTATGTTAAAAAGGGTGTACTCCTATTCGAAGAATTAAGAGACTTTTCTTCTTCCTAAATTTGTTCATGGTATCAAGAGCCATAGGATTCATTCGATCTTACTTATTTGTCTCTCATCTCTCTTCCTAAACATTTTTTTCTTTTTTTCTTCTCTCATGGGTGATATCAATGAAATACTCTCTAATTCCGGTTCAAATAGGCCATGGTGTAGCCACTGTAACCGGGTTAGACATACCAAGGAGAAATGCTTTAAACTCCATGGTTATCCTGAAAAAAATCATAAAGAAAAAAGGCAACAATGATATCTACAACCGAAGAAGATGCCCATGATGTTCGACTCACCAAAACTCAACTTGAGGCTCTTCATAAACTCCTTGGGACTCCTACAACCATTGGATCACTAGCTATTCAAGGTACTGCCTTAAATACTACACATGAACCAATCTGGATACTAGATTCGGGTGCATCCAACCACATGACAGGTAATATAAGTTTGTTTCACATATATTTACCTTGTTATGATCACTCCCGGATTCGCAAAGTTGATGGATCTTACTCCCCGGTGGCTGGAATTGGAACGATCAGACTCACTGAAAATTTTTCCATTGATAAAGTTTTATATGTTCCAAATCTTTCTTGTAATTTACTCTCAATTAGCAAGCTTACCAAGGATGAGAAAGTACTTATTGAATTTTCTGCTTTCGGTTGTGTGGTTCAGGAACATGAATCGGGGAAGATGATTGGCACTGCTAAAGTTGATGATGGCTTATATATTTGGAATAAAAACAGTTCACAAGAAGGGATGGCCTTATCTACATCGAAAGAAGAATCTATCATGCTATGGCACCGTAGTCTAGGACACCCTAATTTTACATACTTGAAAAAACTATTTTCTCTACTATTTCTAAATAAGAAAATAAGTTCCTTGAATTGTGAAGTTTGCCAACTGTCTAAACATACTCGTGTCCCTTATCCTTTGAAACCTTATGTTCAATCTCAACATTTCTCTTTAATCCACAGTGATCTATGGGGAGCCAGTCGAGTAAAAAATATCACAGGGGCTAGGTGGTTCATAACATTCATTGATGACCACACTAGAGTTTGTTGGATCTATCTTCTCAAAGAAAAAACCAATGTCTCTAGAGTCTTCCAAAGTTTTCATTCAATGATTCAAACTCAGTTCAATTCCAAAATTCATACCCTTAGAACTGATAATGGGAGAGAGTACTTCAATTCTATCCTAAGCCCTTATCTTTCTGAGCAAGGAATCATACATCAGAGTTCTTATTCTGATATTCCTCAATAAAATGAGGTTTTCGAGAGGAAAAATAGACACATTTTAGCCTTGGCTCGTGCTCTTATGTTTACTATGGGTGTACCGAAGTATTTATGGGGAGAAACTATTCTCACTACTTGTTATCTTATAAACCGACTCCCATCAAAGGTATTAAACTTTCAAACACCTTTACATACTCTTCAAAAAATATTTCCCTTGTTTCGTGTTCCTAATCTCCCAACCAAAACTTTCGATTGCAAAGCATTTGTCCACAATCATCAACCTAACCGATCTAAACTTGATCTTAGAGCTTACACTTGTGTCTTTCTTGGATACTCACCTACAAAAAAGGGGTACAAGTGTTATTCTCCAACTCTACACCGGATGTTTGTGTTCCTTGATGTTACTTTCTTCGAAAACGAGCCATATTTTTCAGCCTCTCATCTTCTGGGGGAGATATTTAGTGAAGATGAGACATTGAACAACCTTCTCATTATACCTCAAGACTCTATCAATCCTACCACCACTACTGAAAATCCTACAGCCACTGTTGAAAGTCCTACATCCATTGTAATTCCTGATTTGGACCCCATTTTACTCGACTCCACTATACATCAACAAGAAACAAGGGCGATTAATCATACAAATGAAGAAAAACAACCCTCTCCTTCTGAAAAACAACAAGAAAAAACTCAACAGCTTCGTGTATATTCTCGGAAACATCAGCTGCCAGAAACTGAAACAGCAATGCCAATGCCATCTTTACCCGAGGACTGTCCTGAGGAAGAAGTCTCACCTCCTTCGTCTTCCATCTATCTTCCAATTGCAATCAGAAAGGGCACGAGAAGCTGCACTCAACATCCCATTTCTCGGTTTGTATCTTATGGGAACTTGTCTAAATCCTACAATGCCTTTATTTCTAATATTGACTCTGTAGAAACTCCAAAGAACATAGAAGAGGCTCTTAAGTCAACTAAATGGAAGCAAGCCGTGTTGGAAGAAATAAAGGCTCTTGAAGACAATGAAACGTGGGAAATATCTAAACTACCTACTGGAAAGAAGACTGTGGGTTGTAAGTGGATTTTCATTACGAAAGTTAAACCAGATGGGAGCATTAATCGATACAAGGCTATACTTGTGGCCAGGGGTTTCACTCAAACATATGGGTTGGACTACGAGGAAACATTTACACTAGTGGCCAAACTAAATACTATTTGAGTGTTGTTCTCAATTGCTGTCAATTTAGATTGGCCTTTGATCCAATTGGATATAAAGAATGCTTTTCTCAATGGAGAATTAAACGAAGAAGTCTACATGGATTTTCTGCCTGGATTTGAATGAAGCAAGGGCCAAGTATGCAAGTTGAAGAAGTCTTTGTATGGACTAAAGCAATCCCCCAGGGCTTGGTTTAATCATTTTACCAAAGCCATGACGAGTAGACAATATATTCAAGGTCAAGCTGATCACACCTTATTTTACAAACACTCGGCTAATGGGAAGTGTTGTATTCTCATTGTATACGTTGATGACATAATATTGACAGGAGATGACTCTATTGAAATTGAAAGACTAAAAGAATTTTTAAGTCTTGAGTTTCAACTTAAAGACTTGGGGAATCTTATATATTTTCTTGGAATGGAGATAGCAAGGTCAAAGGCAGGTATTTCAATCTCCCAAAGAAAGTATGTTCTTGATCTACTTTCTGAAGTCGGACTGTTGGGTTGCAAACCAGTTGAGACTCTCATAGAACCCAACATTAAATTAGGAACTGATAAGGATAGAGAAGAGGTAGACAGGGGGAGATATCAAAGGTTAGTGGGAAAACTTATCTATCTTTTTCATACTCGTCCAGACATAGCGTTTGGAGTAAGTGTTATTAGTCAATTTATGCATGCTCCTAGGGAGAAACATTTGGAAGCTGCCTACAGGATATTGAGATATTTAAAAGGAACTACGAGTAAGGGGTTGCATTTCAAGAAAAATGTAAATCGAAGCATAGAAGTCTACACTGATGCAGACTGGGCAGGTGCTATTAATGACAGGCGCTCCACAAGTGGTTATTGTAGCTATGTTTGGGGTAATCTCGTGACATGGAGGAGTAAAAAAGCAGTCGGTTGTGGCACGCAGCAGTGCTGAAGCTGAGTATCGAGCTCTATCCCAAGGTATATGTGAAGGAATGTGGCTACAACGGCTAATGGGAGAACTAAAATTATCCTATAAAACACCTATAATACTAAACTGTGACAACCAGACAACAATTAATATAGCTCACAACCCTGTAATCCATGACCGCACCAAGCATGTGGAAATCGATCGCCACTTCATTACAGAGAAAATTAACAAAGGGGAAGTTTGTGTTTCATATCTACCTACTCGACAACAAGTAGCAGATGTGTTAACCAAGAGCTTGAGCAGAAAAAGGTTCGAAGAAATTATGGGCAAGCTAGGTTCGATTGACATCTACACTCCGGCTTGAGGGGGAGTGTTGGAAATCCTTAAATTAAGGAGATTCTTTACCTTAGTTTTAGGAATTTCCTTGTAAATATTAGTCATGATCTAATTACTGATTTTTAGGGATAGGCTTATTATTAGAGATTATTTCCTTGTAAATATTAGAGATTATTTCCTTTTTTATTTTTTTCTGCTATGTTAAAAAGGGTGTACTCCTATTCGAAGAAATAAGAGACTTTTCTTCTTCCTAAATTTGTTCACAACTATACCTATAGCTCTTATAGTTTTTATTATTTCACAGATGTTCATGTAACTACTATGTCATATCTTGTTCACAAATATTCACATATACATCACATATACTTTTTCTTCATATATCTCATGTCCTATTTCCTATCTTGTAATCATGTAAGCACATCACATACTTCCTCATACTCATAGAAACACATGTTTCATTTCCAGTTTAACATTTGATATTTTCATTTTAAGGGGTGCAACGATACACTTCCTGTGCATTGATACACACTGAATAATTTCTGGAAATTTCCCTTTGATGTATCGGTACATATCGAAAGTGTACCGATACACTCTAGCCTAGAATTATATTTTGAGCACGAAAAATCACTTTCTTTTAGCTCAATTGTTCCATATTTCAACCCCTTTCATATCCTTAACTTACATACACCTACTTAAAACAATTAATACTCCTTCAACACTTATCTAACTTCAAATTACCATCCTCTACATGGAATTCAATAATCATACTAAATTTCCCATGTAATCCAAACTTATTTCTAACACTTATAGTTTCTTACTCACACCTATGAAAAGTCAAATTTAACTTCTAAATTCATTTATACATCTTTATTCAAAATTTCACTTATCCTCTTCTTATCTTTAATTCTTCATAACTTACAAATCTTTGAGTTTCTATGGCCTTTTTCATCTCCATCATGTTTCCTAAGTCTCCCTTAACCAAAACCATAATTAAATTTTAAGAATTAACCAAAAGAAATCAAACTCACCTTGGCTATGAGACTTCACGGTTGAAAGAAGAGAAGAAGTTGAAGAAGATAAGCTGGAAACTTATCTCCTCAATTATGATTAACATGGATATTATAATACCCACTAATCATTATTTTATTATTTTATTTGTTCAATGACCCTTTTACTTCTCATTCACTTATTAATTCATCCTACACCAACATCTTTTAATTAATTCCTTCTCTTTTCAATTTATTTAATCTGGTCATTGAATTTTAAAATCTTACACTTTAATCACTAACCCGATATTGAGGATGTTACAATCATCTTTTTACACCCTTACATGTATAGGATGATGCTTCAATGTAGTCTACTAGAGACCTTCCTCTTAGATCATGCATTTTACAATATTAATTCATTAGCAAACATTTCAACATCCATCGTCGTAGCTAAATAAAGTCATAAACATGGTTAACCATGATTATCTTTCAGTAATAAAAAAGAATCTTATTATTCTTAGAAGATATGGATTCAATCGTTCAAATAATTGTTCTGTTTATAAGATGAACATTGTCAATATATTAAGAAAATTCTAAATAAATGCTATTTGATAATCACCTTAGATTACTCGAAAAAATTATTTGATACGAAATTAACTAACATGCACTGTTGGTCCTTTAGGGTTTGAAGTCAACATCTAAGAATGCATATACTAAATTGATCAATTTATATGTGTGGAGTGGATTACAAACTAGAATAGGACTTCTCATCAAGACGAGGCTCATCATCTCCCCTTTGTTAAGAAGGATTTGGCAACAAAATTTTCAAGCTCTTCATCTAACATTTTATCCTCTAAGTCAGTGGCGGAGCCGCATGTAGTTGAGGGTGGATACGTGCCCGCCCCGAAATTCGAATTTTATTCAGTTAGTTAATTATTTTATTGATTGTGTCTATCTTAAAATTTTATTTATGTTCATCCTATAAAAAATTTTGTGTTACTAGCATATGTGTACCCTCCCTAAAAATTATTTCTAGATCCGCCAAAAAAAAATTAAGCATTAAAATATGTCATAACTTTCTTAAAACTTTAGGTTTATAAAAGAGAGTTTCTTATAATTTTCTGCAGCTTTCTTCTGCATAGGTTTCATAATGGGTTTATAAAAAGCTTTCATCTTTTCTTATTTTATTATATAAATTTTATTATATAAAATAATATTAATATGATCGAAGGTCTCTTTCTCCCTCTACTCTTCTACCATAACTTTATTTAATATTTGAGTTAAAATAGAATCTTAGTTATGAGTACTAGTATTTTTAATTAATACATTTTCAGTTTTTTGTTCTTTTAGGCCATGGAATAGAATGTTTCCATATATTGATTAAACTAATAATGTATTTGTTGTTTCATCTGCCTGTTAATTTAAAAAATATGGGTATTTCTTTCCTATTGGTTGCAGAGTATCTGTCAGCTTAGCCATGAACCACTCAGTTCCTGATTGGAATTTTGAGTCTGATCTCCCAATCTCCAACCACCGAAAATCATTGGGGTCTGCACCAGTTTTTCAAATAGGGGACCGCTATCGTTATAGCGGCCGCTATTTTACGGTTCTTCCAATAGCCAAGGAGTCGGCCTTGATGTTCTGCACTCGATAGATATGTCGAATAACCCAACGCTTTTTTGGAAATTATTCATACAACCTATTTACTAAAGAGGAATACAACATATTTGTCTTAAAAGGGTCCCTTAAGTCTGTCACACCCCACCCATGAAAAATAAACCCCCACGATCTGTTAAACCCCCAAATTTTCAAATCTCTAAATCCAAAAATTTTCTTCCCCACCGACCTTCTTTGCCACCTCGATCAGCCGATGTTTGACCATCGTTCTTCGCTCCGATGCCATCAATAGACTCACCATCGAACGATGATCAAAACCCAACCACCCTCCTGTCGTGAAACGCTCTCATCCGCCACGAATCGACGTTAAAAGCACCGTGGAGAACCTCCCTCGTTGCCTCGATTTTACGCCGATCCCGGCCAAACCGTCGGCCGTAGTGTCTCACCACCCCCAGCAGCATTGTGTTCCCTGACTTGTTTCGCTCAAAACCCAACCAGTGGGTGGCGTCGTCACTGCTGGTTCCGTCAATCTCCGACGTGGGTAAGAGTTTAAAAGTTTTCTTTTAATTTCGATGGATTTTGGATGATTTTTTGATTTATTGTGGTTGTAATTGGTAAGTAGTTGAACAGGTGCAATCGGCCGCCGTTGCACGCTCCCTCACGTGCCGTCGGGTGCCCGTGGACCTTGTCTTGGCCTGGAGAAATTTCCAGAGTCGGGCTGACCCGACCTGCCTGGTTCGGTCTAGTCACCGAGTCAACTCGGTCTGAGTCAACTCGTATGAGTCAACCCGTTGACTTTGACCAAAAAGTCAGGATCCCATTTTATGTTTTTCGACGTCTTGAATCCGAATCCGAAGTCTGTTTTGTCAAATTCGCACCCGATAAGCCGTTTTTCTTAAGTCAGTCCACAGTCACTTGAAAATCGCTCTCGATAATAAGCCGATATTTGAGATACCATGCTAAGAAGTAAACAACAGAAGATTGTATTGCCAAAAGTTCAGCCAGCAAAGACGTCCCTGAACCAGCTGAGTTTGAAAATTCCATCAACGTTCCTAGGCAGACCTCCTACGCCAAACATTCCATTGCATCCATCACCAAAGTTTTTTTTTTTTATTTCTTTTACGTATAAGTTTTTTTTAGGGATTATTCATAATTTTGTAAGTTATTGACGCAAAACTAGACAATCCAACAAAACGTAAATCATAATTGTAATTTCTATGCACTTGATATTGATAGGCTAAGTGAAGGGAAAGCAAAGGGCGTCCATAACAACTTGTAGAAGTTGATACTGCGCAACATGTGATGGCTTTCGTTTTCAAACAGTAGGTATGCCAAAGGGTCCAGTGTCCGATCATCAATGAAGAAGTTTAAAGTCATATCCTATATGCATATTATCAAATGAACCAGCCACTACCAGACTTAAAATAACGACTCAACACAAGCACGCTTTGGAGTTGTTCCATTCAATTTGCTTCTCATATTTGATTTCAGGATCAACACAGGACATCTCTACTGTTCTGCTACTCGGTGGAATTCTGGCAAATGGGTCGAGGGAGTGGCGGGGAGGTTGTCACCCTAAAAATTTTATTTTCTTATATATTTTAAAATTTTTATTTGTATTTTCTATTCATAATTTGTTTTTTTTGTCTCCTTTAAATTTTAAAATTTTACCTTACCTTAAATTTTATTAGTTTACCCCAACATTAAATCATATGTTCGTTCTTGCCTATGTACATATATGTAAGAGGAAGTTTGGTTGTTCTCATAAATAGAATCAAGAATGATTATAAATTAGATATTTTTTCAATTCTTTTAAATATTCAAACTCGCTTAATTCATATTAAATAGTAACCTATTTTAGTTTCATTTTGTGCGAACCATGTTTAGATTCTCTTCAAATTTTATTTTAGTATAATATTTAATTCATATTGTAATTATTTGATTGATTATTGGAGGTTATATTTAATAACCTGCTTGTAAAAAACACGGGCAATGATTGAAGGAAGGCTTCACCAATGTGGATAACATTAGGCAATCTTTGCAACGGTGGACCTACGTACATGTTAACATCAATCCTTCTATGAACCTCCCAACTTCCATGACAAAGAAAGCAGTTCCTATGGACCATTAATATGAATGGCTCCAATTAATTACATAAATTATCTATATTACACGTCTAATATGGGACAATCTATGTAATTAATTTGGACATACAATGCATTATTACTCTAACACAAGATTGATTCCACTAAAAAATATGATTTCTAATTTTTTTTAATATTTTATAAACATTTTAATTTTTTATAATAATTTATCATTTTATAATTTCTAATATCTTTAAATTTTATAATATTTATTCATTTAAATATATTTAGTAATTTTTAATATATTATTTTTTTGAATATTTTAATATATTTATCTTTTTAATATTTTAAATTTTATATATTTTTTAATTTCATTTTTTAAGGATTAATTAAACCTCCAAACTTTCTAAATGAATCGATTAATCCATTGATTTTTTTCTTTAAAACCAATTAAACCCAAGACCTATTGAATAGTACACAGCCTATTAAATTATTTTTTTGAAAATTTTAGTGGTTGAAACTTGAAAGAATAGAGGAAGTGATTTCAACCATCACTTTTTTTTAATAAATAATATTTTTAATAGGACTATCGAACTGAAGAGCTATAGCCCTATGTGTACTTAATGTGGCTAAAAGGATTGCAGTATTGAAAGAAAAGCCTGATGACTCAACTGGGCAAGGTTGTGATGCAGGCGAACAAACGCTAGCATCAGTGACTGCCCAAGGGGACGTCGGCAGGGACGGAGCCACGAAGGGCTTGGGAGGGTGTGGCCCCTCCACCCAGCCAAAAGTTTATTTTTTAACCTTAGTTTATATATAAAATTTAAATATTTATGGGATAATTATAAAATTGCCCCCAAAATTTAGAAAATTTACAGCTTGCCCCCTTCAAGTTAATCCGTGCCTGAATGTCGGAGACTTCTTTCTTGGTTATATCATGTTTGTTAGTGATTCCGGTGATAATAATGGCAACACCAACTGAGAATTTCTCCACCACCGACGACTCCACTTTGTTATCACAACATCATTACAATTGAACGGAGCAGAGAGGCCGCGACTGTCCCGCCCCACCAGCCCCCTCCATCCATGCTTGTAAGTGAATGTTGTTTAGTGAGCAAGATTTAAATGGGGCAAACAAGGCTAATAAGAATGTGCTCGTTGTACTACCTATGGACTTCAAAACAATGAACCACGAGACCATGCAACATTCTTCCTCTTCCCACATTGGTGCGGGGATGGCTTTGTTAGAATAATTGTCCGGTTTGAGATTTATTAACTGGTCAAATGATTAAAGGTGTTCACACTATCTTATTTTGCGGGAATTTGAATTTCGATATTTGTCTTGAAAATTTAATACATCTCTACATAATCAAAAGAAATGAATAATTGTCGGGGGCTTCGATCAACTCCAAATCCGTTGGAATGAGGAAATGAATTTAACGTTTCAACTTGATCAAAATCATTTTGAGGCAGCTGATTTTCATTGAAATTAATTTGTTGAGGCCTACAAGTTGCTTAGCAAAGATGTCGTCTATGGTAACCTTGTTTTTATACATATATACAGTCTATTTTTCTTGATTAACCTTCACATATAAATAGTCATTTATGTTGTTTGGTATTAACCATTACGATAACTACGCTACTAATAAATTAATCTTTTGAGATGTGTCTGAATATTAATTTTTATAATGTCAAGTGCAGCTTTAAAGACCAAATAATGCGCTAATAGCAATCCATATAAAATCCGGAACCATGGATCCGACAATAACCAGAAGTAATCTTTTTAATAATTGATTTCTTTTTTCTTTTTTGGTTGAAACAGGTAAGATGGCAGCCTAGCTGCCCGTTCTATCAACAATTAGCAACTCCTCAGTTTCCTTAGGGAAATTTTACAGAAAATTATGTCTTCCTGATACTTCCATATCTGCTTGGTGATGAAATCCGCGACGCGGTTGATTTCTCTAGGTATGTACTTCAACTCGACTTCCCAAATTTTCTTTAAGAGTTTCTCTATGTGCTGTAGAATAGTAAATTTTCTGTATTCAGCCTATTTTTTTTTTGATAAAGCTGATAGCTTCCTTGTTATCGGATTCTAAAATCACTTTCCTTTCTCCTCTTATCCAAGGCATATTTAATCCCTTGTGAATGCCCCACAGTTCTGCTTTCAAGATGGAGCAAGTCCCTATTCTTCTGCCAAAATCCCACTGCCAATTTCCATTGTGATCTTGGGTAATTTCTGTCATTTGTATCGGATGTCATTTCTACTTTGTGTGCTTCCAGACTTGGTAATTTCTGAATTTTGTATATCTTGGGTCAGTCTTATAGCTTGTTGAATAATAGTTTCCCTTTTAACCATTTCTGAGTCGAAGATCGCCTGATTTCTTCGTTTCCAAATGTACCAGATTACAGAGCTGAAGAAGGTAGGCCAGCTCTCTATTCTTGGCGAAGGGCGAACTACCCATATCAACAAAGTTCTCGGGCAGAATCTCAGCATATGGTTAATGTCTTCTGTCTCGTAGTTACACATAGGGCAGCTTGCATCCGTCGTCATATGCCTGCGCACTCTTTCCGAATTGGTCAGATCTTTTCCAATGAGCCATAGAAAAGCTTTCTTTAAATGCCTTTGTTTAGTGGACTGCTATTTTTTTTCTGCAAATATGCACGTCTGATGAAGTGAAGGTTGGTCTTCTTAGTTGAATTCCTCGTTTTCTCTCGATTTGATGCATAAAATAATATTAATAAATTTCACTGGCATCGACACCTGACAGCATATCGTGATGCAGGTAAGAGTAAGCTTCATGCGATTTAATTATCCATCAGCTTAATTCAACTACATATAAGCTGATCATTGTCTACAAATACATATATGATATTGAGTGCTCTTCTTCTTCAACTATCTAGATATACTCTCCGAGATAATTGACAATAACATCCCATGATGTCATTAGCCAGCTAAGCCACGGGTGCTACATCGGCTCCATCGTCATCGCCCCCGTTATTTTCACTGTAAATAAATAGACGAGTGGCAACTAGGCGGTCGGTGATGAGCTTCTTGGAGAGGCCTGCTGCAGATTGCTCGGTATTGTCTAGCACCATTGTAGTTGTTCACTGACCGTCCTCTAGAACTAGAAGAAACTACTTTCAAGGGAAAATATCAGGGGAGATTGCTGTGTGCTGAAAAGAAAGCACATGTTCTCCTATTTATAACCGGAAAAAGTAGCACTACCATTGTTCTGAATTACAGTTACAGTCCCCTAAAGTTTTATAAATTCGTCTCTACTAACATAAATTTCTGTTTTCATCCTTGATTATAGGCACAATTACAGGTGTTACGAACGAGAATCTGATAGCACAACACGATAATTATAATTTGTAGTATTACGGTGAGCATTAGGGCCGCATGTTAGAAGTATGTGTGGGTTGCACATGAGAAAAGAGGAAAAAGCAGGAAAGGGAGAGTGATATTGTATCAACTTGTGGTTGATTTGCATAGATTGTACTTACATGGCGACCTGCGGTCCCACGCATGAGCCATTCTCATGTAGGGTTGTTGCCCACTTGTGGAAACATAAACCCTACACACTTTTGAGCTTCATTGCCACATGCAACTTATATCTACTTGGAAAACATACCCTATCTTTTATTAACTCGCTTACTCTTGGGTAGGGGTGTAAACGAGCCGAGTCAAGCTCGAGTATTGGTGAGTTCGACTCAACTCGAAAACTCTAAAATGAAGCTCGACTCAAAAACTCGCAAGCTTAAAATTTTTAAGCTCGACTCGAACTCGAAATCCTGAACTTAAGCTCGTGAGCAGCTCGAAAAGGCTCGAAATGAAAAAAATTCTTAAACTTAACTAGATTGAAACCTCAAACTCGAACATGAACCTTAAATGCAAGAAAACCTTACTGTATTTAAAAAATTAACACATAAATGTTAATATTATTAATAATTTATTTTTTTTAAAAATAAAATCTTAATATATTATATTTTCGAGATGCTCACGAGCTTTTCGAGTCGAGTATCAAGTAGCTCGTTTCGGCTCGTTAAGAATTAGAGTCGAGCTCGAGCTCAAGTCCATTCGATCCGAGTATTTATCGAGCCTTGACCGAGTCGATCTCGAGTAGCTCAAATTTGTCTCGTCTCATTTACAGCCCTACTCTTGGGTACGATATAGAGGCAGCAATTTTTCACATATTTCATTTTTTTCCAGGTAAGTGATTCATAGTATTAAATAATAAACTAATCAAGTAGTGTTAGTGGTTAAATAAACTATCGTAATTATCCCAAATTAATAAAAAATAAAAAATAAAACCACACAATGTATATGAATCAATGTGAGAAAATTCTATACGAATGCAGCCTGCAAGCAGGCCCGGATTCATCTTCTAATCAATATATATGAAAAACGGTTTGTTGCAAAAAAACCTACAATGAGAAAAAAATTATTTCTAGGTATTGCGCATTACCGTTGTTAATAGTATATGTTAAATATTGACTCAAAATTTTGTTGAATAGAAAAGGCTAGTAATTGTATTATTAAAAAGTGAAAATATTTAAAATTATAGTAAGAGTTTATAATTATTATAGTAAACTAAATATATAATTTGGATATTTTCTTATAACATTGAAACTAGTCACTTTAGATCATATAAGAATCATATATGAAAAAGATTAAAAACCCAATCAAAAGACTCGGACAAAAATAGATCCAAACAAATTTGATTGCATCGGCAAGCGAATCACAAAAGATAAACTATTGAAAGACCATCGAGAACCGCAAATCAGAGACGAACGACATGAGAAACTATCCACGAATGCAAAACCACACATCTAACTTCAATATGAATGTCCATAGCAGGGAGGATCAACAAAATTTCAAAAAAGTGCCATCTTGATAAGTCGTGGCTTCGTCAAATCCAACCCTAAGAAAACATAAATAAAAGAATGACCAAACGATCGAGAAAAAAAAATAAAAAAGTATCACAAAGACAGAGATAAATGTGCCTTTCGTGCATAATTATTCTTATTAAAAAAACTAAAAGCAAATAGAAAAGATAATCGACAATCAACAACCAACATAATAGAACTTGCATTGGAACTTTAGAATAGTTCTAAGCCAAGTTCAATGAGCAAATTTACCATTAGTATGCTAAAGAAGAGGCTCAATCTAAGTTAAGGCTCAATCGTTTGAGAGCTTGCGCAAAAACTCCATGAGTCGATACTAAGTCCCAATTATGAGAGAATGATTGCTCTTTACCTTGTTATATGGATTGAGACCATGTGCCAAGTAAGAGTTGCAATAGACTAGAGTCTTTCAAAAAATAATGATTATTATTGAGTTACATCGAGATTTGTGAAAACAAGATAATTAGAATCAAGTTTTTCAAATATGAAATAAGAGCAATGATGAACAGACGACAAGAAACAGGCGAGTGATAATGAAGGAAGATCTCCGAGTGACAATAGAAAGTCATTGAATGAGAATGAAATCGAGATTATCAAAAATAAATGTAATCTCATTCAATCTAATTTTATCTTGTATCTTGTAAAGCTTTGACTTTTTTTTATCTCCCCTTCATCTTCTTCAATAAAACACAAGTTTTCTCTCCTCAAAACCCGAAAAACAACCTCCTTCAAATCACTGTCTCCCCCCACAAAACTCGTCTTTTCCTCTCCCTCCCTCCATGCAGTTCTAATAACTCCCTATCAATTCTAGTGCTCGACCAAGAAATTGATCGGAAAGTCTCTTCAAAACTTGAAAAAGATACCTTTAAGGTCTCCGTAATTCAAGAAATAGTCATGGATTGAAGAAGAAGATGATCAAGAACATGAAGAAAACGACACCGTTTCCAAACCATCGAGCATATATGTTAGTCTCCAAAAATTTACTATGGCGATGCCTATATTCTTGACAATCGATGTATGACTTTGCACGAAGGTAAAAGTCACCATGTATCGTCTCATCTTCCTCCACCGCCAGAGTGGATACATAGGAAACATTAATGGGAGGACTTGATGTTGAGTTAATCGATCGACAGAATCGGCCAAGAGGGGGGTGAATTGGCAATTAAAGATTTTGGTGGAAGCTTTTGCAGAAAATTGAAAAGATTTGCACAATGATTTATAATGGTTCGACTTTCTCAACCAAAGTCTACGTCCACTACCTTAGCTATCCACACTAAGGATTTTCCAACAAATTCACTAATTTATTCTTTCTTTTGAGGCCAAAGAGATAACCTTACAACTCCCTCAAGAATATACTCCAATTCTTGAGAACACTCTTTTTCAAAGAGAAATACACAAATTTGCAAACTTACAAGGAAACCCTCACAAGGCAATATGTTTGCACAATTCTAGAACAAAGAAAAGAACACTAAAAAATGAATACAATTGAGTACAAGTAGTGTTCTTGAAAGCAAAATGAATATTGAATGAAAAATAGGCTTGAAATGCTCAAACTTGAGGTTTGATGCTTTCTCTTTGATTCTCTATGATTTCTTCTTTCTTGTTTGTTGTTAATCAATGGCTTTAGAACTTGTTTAAATACTCCTTCAATTGATTTTGAACGTTGGGGATGCTTAGTGGAGTCAATAGAGCCGTTTAAGTGTGAAAACAATTTTAGAACTTGTTTAAATACTCCTTCAATTGATTTTGAACGTTGGGGATGCTTAGTGGAGTCAATAGAGCCGTTTAAGTGTGAAAACAATTAATAAATTCAGTTGGGAGCATCAGTGCATCGATGCCTATCCATGGTGCATCGGTGCATCAAGTGTAAATTCAAATATTTTGACCGTTAGACCCTTAGTGAATCGGTGCACTAAGAGTGCATCAATGCATCAAGTGCATTCGGTGCTTCAAAATAGCCAGAGTGCATCGATGCATGGCTGGTGCATCGATGCATCAAATGTATTGGATGTTTTCATAAAATCCTCAGTGTTTGATGCATGGTATGCATCGATGCATGAAATGCATTCGATGTTCATTGAAATGATCTTGAAGACTTGGAGTAATAATTTGATATTCGAGTAATTAAATCGAATATACTAGAAAATCATTTGTAAAATCTTAAAATTCATTAACTTAATTTGTTATATCGAAACATCAAATGTTTTCAACAATATCCCCTTTTTGATTATAACAAAACATGTGTGTAATTTTAAGATTTTCTTTGAAAATAAATTTTGAAAAATTAAGTTTGAAATTACTCCCCTGTAACAGCCTCAATACCGGGTTAGTGACTAAATTATAAAACTTCAGAATTTGGTGATTAAAATAAAATGATTAAATAGTGTTGTAATTTGGTATAGGGTTAAATTGCAAGGAAGAGGGAATTGAAGGATAGAATGGTCATTTGTAAGAGAAAATAATTAAGATTTCTTATATTTATTTTGACTACACGTGGAAGAAGGAAGAAAAACATAAGCTTCCAGAATTCTCTCATTCTCTTCTTTCCTCCCAACGTGAAAACTCATAACAAAGGTGAGATTTCTTATAAGTTGTTTGTTAGTTGAAATTTAAGTTTGGTTTTGCTCCTTAGATGCTAATTAAGCTTAAGGAAAACTTAGTTTGTTGTAAAACAACAAGATGAAGAGTGTAGGAAGAATTAAAGATTATGAGTTCTTGAAGGGAATTTTGAAATAGAGTTCATATTTGAAATCGCAGGTTGAATTTGACTTGTCATCGACTTAATCAAGGAATATGAAGTGTTAGAATTGTATTTAGAACATATTGAAATTGAGTATGATTCTGATTACATATGAAGGATATGATTTTGAGGTTAAAGATGATTTTCATGGATATAAGTTGGTTTAAGTAATGATAGTTGGGTTTAATGATATGATAGGGGTCTAAAATAGAGGAATTGAGTGAAGAATTGATGATTTTCGGGCTTAAAATACAATTTATGGGTTGTGTGCATCGATGCACATTCAATGTGTACCGATACACTCTTAAATAATGAACATCGAATGTCATTTGTGCATCGATGCATAAGGAGTGCATCGATGCACCTGCTTAAATTACAAACATCGAATGAGATTTATGCACCGATACACAGGAAGTGCATCGATGCACCCGTCAAGGGATGCATCAATACATGGTGTAGTGCATCGATGCATACTTTCATTAAAAGATAAAAATAGTTTTCTTTTTAGCCTAAGGAGTGGTAGTTTAGAATACATCAGTTAGTATATTGACATGCATCAATGTATTATTATGTAGATATAGAACGTAACTTTGTCCCGGAACAAACAAAGAATTAAAATCAAGTCAAAACAAGCAAGGCCAAGGTGAGCGCATATCCTAGATGAAACGAAATTGAGATAAGACTTGCGATAAGTCTATCTCTTATCATTGAATTTATGATTCTATATTCATGCACATGCATACATGTATATTTGTTAACGTTATAGTGATTTCATGCATTTTTCATTTATGATTAACATGACAACATAAGAATGAATGCTATTATCAGAGGATTATTCCAGGTATGTGAAATAATGAAAATGATCATATAAAGCGACTTATATGTTTACA